GCATGCTTCTGTTTCATTGGGGTAGCAACAACAGAATGCACTCACTAGTTAATTTGGATTTTCATTTGATCAATACCATGTCTATGTTTTATTAAAAGGTCGCAAGTTAGTGTTGTGGCCATGTGAACACATTGAAACCAAATCACCCAAGAAAGCACTCATTGGGTGATTTGGTTTTTCACTTGGTTGATAACATGTCGTGTTTTATTTGAAGGGTCAAAAGAAAGTGGTGTAACCATGAAAACTCATTGCTCCACATGTTAAGCTATCTTTGTATTTCTTGATTGTCAAAGTGAGGGAATGGACTCTAGAGGCATAATTTTCAAGGTTTGAGGCGAGGCTAGGTGATGACTTCGTTTTAATAAAACCCATCTTTTACTATTAACCATCTCTTTTTTAATGTTATTTTACTTTACCTGTTCTCAAAAAAGACTACTAATTGTTGCCTAATCACCTAGGCGATGGGTTTTTATGAATAAAAGTCATGAATCCTATGGTAATTCCTTAAGTTCCATGGAAAATAGCAACCATCTTTCACATAATTGTCTATAATCTTCATAGAAAATGTAAAAGCTTCATTTGAAGCATAGAAAATCAACATATTCATGAAAATAAATAAATGAAACAAAAGAAATTTCAGAAAATAGAGGAGCTGAGCCTCTATTTTTGTCCTAGGAAAAGAAGAAAAGAAAGGATGAAAGAGATGACGATGATGATGACGATAGAAATAGTCAACGTGTTGATTGGATAAAATTTTGAATTCTTCCATGCTTATCAATTCATGTTTTCAAGCCTTTTTTATGGGAAACAGTAACTTTCATCAATAATAATAGTTAGAGGATACAACTATCACCATCCAAAGGCCGGACGAAAAGCCCTTTGACAATATCAGACTTACAAACAAGTCCAAAACAACTCCTGCCTATTAACTCCTTGCTTAGCTAAAGCATCAGACATCCCATTTACTGATCTTCTTGCCCATTTAAACTGCACCCCAGTCTCTTCCTAAGCTCAAGATTTCTCTAAGCTATTGTCTGAAAAGCCATATACCCAAGCTTCTTGCTTGCATCCAGCCTATTACCGGTTTGGAATCTCCCCCCACTTCTAACTGTTGCATTCTCCATTGCTTTACCAGTCTGAGACCTTGGAGTAAGGCGAAAACTTCTGCCCTTAAGGAGTCTCCCACCCCTAAAGGGCCTGAGTAAAGCACCAACACTCTAGCCCTCCTCATCTCTAAAGTCATCCCATATACCTAAGGGGCCTGAGTTACCTAGAGAGATTCCATCAAAATTCAGTTTCACTCTAAAGCAAGACAGTGGGGCCAACTTTCCTGTACTATAGGAGAAAAGGATGAGGATCCAGCTATGGCACTCCATCCTCTAGTGAAATCAGTATAAAATAAGTCTTTGAACGTTTTTTTTTTTTTTTTTTGATCAGCAAAGGTAACTTTTATTAATCATAATGAGAAAGATGAGCTTACAAATTTGCGGGTAGTTTACCCACACCCATAATGTAAATAGATAAAACTAGAGATGCAATCCCCCAAATTCATCCTTACAAATATAACCCAAAAAGTGTTGCCTCTTTGCCCCTTGTTTAGCTAATGTATCTGTCATGCCATTTGCAGTTCTCACCCATTTAAATGTAACACTCAGTTCCCTTGTTACCATTTCAATTTCTCTAATCCTTTGCCTGTATATCCAAGGGGTTTGGCAATGAAAATTTGTCCAGGAAATCACCACCACAGACTCCCCTTCCACTTCTAACCTTTGGAAGCCAAGCTGTTTTGCAATTTTCAGCCCTTGAAGAAGAGCCATTAATTCTGCTGTCAGTGAGTCCCCTTGCTCTACAGGACCCGAGTAGAGCACTAGTACCTCACCTTCCTGAACCTCGGAATACACCCCCTAGACCGGCACTTCATTTCCTAAAATACTTCCATCAAAATTTAATTTTGCAGAGTTAGGTGCTGGCAGCCTCCACTCCATAACAACCCTTTCTTTCTCTTGACCCGAGCTTGCCACTTCCTTCCATGATCTCAGAATATCATTGAAGGAGAAATCATGGAATATTTCCAAAGTTTTTACCCAATGTGCAACTTTTATCTTTATGGCTTCTATGACTTCCAACTCTGATCTACACCTTTCATTGAAAATCCTCCCATTTCCTTCTTCCCAAATAGTCCAAACCAGTGCTGCTCTCAATGCTTTCCACAGAATCCTACCTCTTTTCTTTGCCTGCCTCAGGAAAGTTGGGTCAAAGAGACCCACCACATCTTGGGGAGGAGTCCCCCCTGCATTCAAAAAGAGAACAGAAGTGCTCCCAAACACCAAGTGCAAAGGTACATTGAATAAACAAATGGGAAATATTCTCTCCACTAGCTTTGCAGAGGCAACAAACATGTGGGGAAAGGCATTTATTTGGCCTTCCCTTCTGCAGCAAGTCACAGGTATTTATCTTCCCAAGAAAGATCTCCCAGCAAAGGGCCTGAATTTTTTGGGGGAATTGGCTTACTCCAGATTTCTTTAACCGGGAGGTTCAAACCCAAGGTGGTGGGCTGAATTAGGTTATTGAAAAAAGCACACGTGAAGCTGCCATCAGTAGAAAGAGCCCACACCCTTGTATCCTCTATACTTTGGTCTAGGAAAACAGAATCTAACTTGGCCAAAAGGGTTGTCAGAGACTCACATTCTGAGTCCCTAAGACCCCTTCTGAACCCAAAATCCCAGTTCAACCCTAAGGTATTGAGAGTCACAAATTTTGAAATGGGTTCATATTTATAGATTGACAAAGTAAAAAAGTATGAGGAATTGGGTCTTTAGTGGTTGTTCTCCCAGCCATAGGTCTTCCCAAAATAGGACCTTGTTCCTGTTTCCCACATCAAATCGAATATGATTGAGGAAGGAAGGAAACACCTCTTAGATAGCTTTCCAAGGTGATGAAGAAGAGGCATTAGGGGCTACGTTTACATCCCAGCCATTGTCCGAACACCCATGTATACTTACAATCACCTTGTGCCAGAAACTTTCACGTTCCAGGGGAAATCACCAAAGCCACTTTCCTAAGAGGGTTGAATTTTTCTGGACTAGGTTTCCTATCCCAAGCCCCCCTTTGCCCTTTGGTCTACAAACCAGCTCCCATTTCACCAAATGATCTCTTCTCCTCCCCTGGTTCCCATAGGAAGTCCCTCATCAACTTCTCCTACTTTCTTGCCATTTTGAACAGTTCCAAAACTTTTGGCCAATGTATAAACTTGATGGTAATGCCCTCAACGAGTGCTTCCTTAGATCTTTCTTTTCCTTGGAAGATCTTATTATTCATCTCCTCCCACACCAACCAAATGACAGCTGCTCTTGTAGTTTGCCACATCACCCTACCTCTATTCTTTGGTAACTGGAAGAAACTAGAGTCAAAGAGGTTCCACACACACGAAGGAGTCCACCTGCAACCAAAGAGAGAGGAGACTCAGGCAAAGACAACAGACATGTGGGGAAAGGCACCAATCTGGCCTTTTTCTTTGAAGTACATCCAAAGTATTGACCTTTTAGAGAACCACTTCCCAACAGAAAGCCCTAACCTTTGGTGGAACAGGAGTACACCACACTTGTTTAGCAAGGAACAGGTTAGGCACAATATCATAACAAAGTAAAGCATTGAAAAATGAAGAGCAAGAAAAGACACCTAAGGGGGACGCTGACCAAACTCTATTATATGGGCAAGACTGATCTAGAAAAAACAGTAATCAATAGAGAGAACAATTCATCTGCAAATGCCACTTTTGAGTCCCTCGACCCTCTCTTCAGTCCCAAATCCCAAGAGCCCTTATTCACACAGAGGAAATAACCTTAAATTTATTTAAAGAAAGAGACAACCAGGAACCTATCCTTAAGAGGATGTTCCCTACCCAAGTGTCCTCCCAAAACAAAATTTTGTTACCTGAGCAAGCATCATACCTAATAAAAGGTTGAATAGAAGGTGGGACTCTGACGATTGATTTCCTAGGGGAGAAGTGAGAAGCCATGGGGTCAATACCAGTGTCCCATCCATTTGCTGCCAAGCCGTGAATACTCACCACCACTTGATGCCACAAGCTATCCTACTCTAGGGGAAACCTCCATAACCATGTCCCTAACAAGGCTAAGTTTCTTAATCTAATATTACCAATGCCTAAGCCCCCGAGTTCTCACTTCCTAGAGACAACTTCCCACTTCACTAGACAATATAAACATATCCAAGAGCACTGTGTAAAAAATCTCTTAGTGATTAAGCAAGGTGACCCTCCATGAGTGCATTATCACCTAAGCAACCCCTTGACAACTATGGCCCCACTTGGATTTGATAGACTAGAGGGACAAGCAAAATCCAGCAGTGTCATTTGGTTAGATTGCTAGTCACCAGAGGTTCCTTGGTAAGTTATCCAAGTACTCAAGAGGCTCTATTCATGACATCCAAATTCAAAAAAAAAAAAAAAAATCTCTTAGATTCCACAATCAGCAAATGTATTAGTTGAACTTTTGCCTAGAAGTGGAATGACTAGGGAAGCGTTATTCTTGTTTGATGGATATGACTTCCCTTTACGGTGGTTGATATTTTCCCCTTTTTCTTCCAAAGTAAAAACTCTGCTACTCTTGCTACATTCATAATTAGCAATTAAAATAATGTGGCATATTTACAAACACCAAAATAGAAATTGTGTTTAGGATGCATGCAGAAAATAGTTAAAATAAACATGTCTTTCAGAAAATGGAAAGAAAAACAACAAATACCTAGAAAAAATGCTAATTCACAATCCCAAAACAAACAAACAAACAAACAACTTAAAATGCTATTAAATCAAAATATTCATAGCACGTGTGGAAAGAAGTACAAAACTGTAATGCAGAAAAAGGAAAAAAAAAAGAAAGAAACAAGGAAAGACTTGGAATCTGTTAAGAGGGGCAGATCACAATAAAGACAAACCGTGGACATTGCTTATTTAAATAACAAGGAAGAAATCTGGATACCTGAAAAACTTTTACCAATACAGCATCGACAGAATCCATTTGAGGTCTCCTTTCACACAGCTTAAATCCAAGCAATGTATAATTCAAATGCTGCACATTGTCAAAAAAGGCAGTACAATTGTCAAAAGAAATCACAATAAGCAGTGGTCTATATAGAGAAGTTTATATGACACAAGGGCTATATGAAGAATACCTGATCAAAAGAAAAATCCTTGCTAGACTCAATAAGCTGCACAATCTCTAATGCATCAGAGCTGACAATCTCAGCAGGAAGTTCCTTGATAATATGATGTAGAACAATTGATATACAGGGGGGATTCTGAGATGATTCTGATAGATTCCCCCCTAAACCCAGTTCTGCAAATAGGTTACCTATTTCCCACTTTTTGACAGTATTACAAATAATTATGATCAGCAGTTTGCAGTGATATGTAACTTGGATCAATAGAATTAATTTATACAATACCAAGAAGAATCATGCAAAGATTTCTCTATTTTGGGGGAACGATAATTGGATAAAAAAGTTGTGTATCCTTCCCCTTTCCCTTAAAAATAGAAAAAGAAAGAAAAAAATGAAAGAAGGAAAAAAATAAATTCTATATTTTATAAATAAAACTGAAATATCTATCAGAAAGAGGCATGTGCAGTCATTTTTTCCATATCCCAGGTAAAGGAATTTCATTGACTAGGAAAGACCATTGTTAATGAATACCTTCTTCCTTTGGTTTGATAGATAAGGTACTAGTTTATCAAAGCCAGGTTGTCCCATCACATGAATCTAACTTTGATACCTTTAGAAGCACTAATTTTAAGTTGTAAGCACTCATGTCAACTGTCAATTCATCAAAGAGTGAAAGTGTGAAACTATATATTTCAGCCTAGGATCTGAACACATTAGCTGATGCACAAGGCATTTCTACAGTGACATGGTAACTCAACTATAGCTACACTAGATTTCTGAAACACAAATTAATTTAAGATTGTTCAGATAACTGAGACCTTAACTTCTTGTCCAGAGAAATGGTAATAATATTCATTAGCTTTTAAATTGCAGGATTTTGAGGTGCCAAGCAGAAAAAAGCAATGAATTGATTCACATTACTAAAAGAAGTTACAGTGAGGGAGGGAAAATAAGGGAAAAAAATAGGATAGTATCGCAGTGTTGAGGATTAAAGATATCTGCTAAAGGAAGAGTATAATGTCTTTTAATTCCCTCCCTCCCTCCTACACAGACATATGCATATATATATATATATATTGGTTAGATTCATTAGCTTTTGAAGTGCAGGAATATTAAGGTGCCAAGCAGAAAAAACAATTGTATTTTGTTCACACATATAAAAGAAGTTCCATGGAGAGAATGAGGAAAAGGAGGATAATGTTGAGGAACCATTTCACATGAATCATGAATTACAAATTTAATGAGGGAATAGGTAGCTGGGTCTGGTGGTCTGGCCTATCATATAAATGGCGTGAAGCATATTTGCACTCTATTGCAAATCATTTTTTCACATATTAAAAAAAAAAAAAAAAACTCAAGTTAACAATAAAAAAAGGATGGTATTGCAGCCTTGAGGATTAAAGATATCCAATAAAAGGAGGGAAAAGATGTCTTCTAATTGCCTCCCTCTGACATAGGTACATGTAGATATATTATTATCCAATTTGAAAGGAGGGATATCTACTTTCTACTTTCTCCTTTTTCCACATTAAGAATGACATATGGGAAAAACATATGTTTTCAAACATGCAATGGAATACAGATACAGCATTAAAGTATCAAAGCTGGAAAGGAAAAGTTTTAATATCCAACTCCTCCACTGACCTGATACGTAAACATGCATTTCACAGACCACTCAATAGTAGGTTCAATTAGGCTGATAAGCAACTTTTTATTTCCTGAAGAATATCTGCTTATGGTTTCTTTTCCCGAAATAATCCGCATCAATATAATACTGATGTCATTAATACAAGTAATAAGATATCCTGTAACAAGATTGTTAAAAAAACATTATATTAAGACAATTTGAAAAAGTGACCAAGGTAAGAATAAATATGGCAGGTAGTTTGACTGCCTACTGGTAGAACTATCAATGAGAGAGATCTAGAAGGAAGAGTGACCAACATTGAAAGCTACATTACCCAGATACAGCAAGGGCAGGTTATGGAGTCATGGAGAGGATGTCTGGACACATAATTTCACTAAAAATTGAAGTGTCCAACACAATCAACAGACCCAGTTTGAAGTGTTCATGCAACAGAGTTGAAAAGCTTGCTTATGTTCTTAGTTCTTACAAATACATGCATGCAATGTTTTAACACTTTCTGCATCATGTGCAATGCTTGTATACAAGTGTATATATTTGTGAGAAGCAAGCATTGTATATGATAATTATACCTCTATCACATGGAAGCAATTTTTGAGCACACCGGACCAGATAAAGATGACAATAAACTGATGCCAATGGATCTGCTAATCCTCTCATCATCATAACCAGACGCTGAAGACTTTCACAAGGTTGATCGTGCAGAAAACGCCAGCAATGTAATATCGCCAGTTCCGAGTAACTGAAATACAACACCATTTAAAGAATAACAGCATGAAAAAATTCTTAACTAACTTTACATTAGTCAAATACATGCATGAAATATCAAAGTAGAAATCGACACTGTATTCAAATACATATGTTTCTTTATTATATTGCTTTTGGAGTTAAATAAAAAGATTTTTCAGAATACTTAAAATCAAACATCTCCATGCCAGGAGTTATATTACATATAAATGAAAGAATGAAAACACGTAGACAAAAATGTGTAATGGAAACAGAAAAAGCATAAGTTCCCCCCAGTATTAAGGATGCAAACACAGACATTGGAAGCAAGGATTATCATTATTTCTTCCCTTAAAATCAAAGGTTGATACAAACACAAGTAACTCAGCCAATATGTTAATTCTTTCTTCTAGGATCAAATAAGACAACAGCAAGACTAGAGAAAATAATCAATAACAAAAAGAGGATACAAGGCTACAAACAAACTGAATAAAATAAGTACCCACACTGCATGCAGTAAAGTACACCAGTGTTTCTACCACATCCTAATGGAATGGGTAAGCTATGCAAGTTGAATTACCCAGGCCTTCCATATGCAGGCACTTTTTTTTGGATCAGCAAAGCAGGTCATTCATTAATTAATTGAAATAAAAAAGGTTACAACAAGAGATTGTGAAAATTTGAAACAACCCATGACATAACATACACAACCACCACCCTATTACGATTGTGCTCAATACATTTGCTGTTGGTGAACTCCTTTAGCCAAACCATATGCCAGGTTATTAGCAAATCTCCTAACTATCTGAATGTTCATGTCTTTTGAGAGCCACTTAAAGCGTCTAATCTCATTTCAAAATTGCCAAACCAACCCACTTATGTTTGTTCAACCACCCTACTACAATCTTTGAGTCCCCTTCAATAACCAATCTTCCAATTCCCATTTCTTTAGCTTTTGGTACCCCAAAAACTACTGCTAAAAGTTCTGCCCTTACTGAATCACCTCATTCTGTTGGACCCAAAAACAAAGCACAAATAGTACCACCCTTATCCCTTATCACTCCCCAATTCTTGAGGAACTAGGATTGTCCAAATTGTTGCCATCAAAGTTCAATTTCATCCAGCCACCAATTGGTGGTGACCAAGCCTCAAGGACTTTTTGTTTCCTAGAGGAAGAGCCAGCTATTGCCCCCCAGTTCCTGAAGAAATCTTTCACTGTGCAGTTTGAGAAAAGTTTCAATGTCTTCACCCAATGTGCAACTCTTAGGTTTATGATCTCAACAAATGTCTCCTTACTCCTTTCTCCCCAAAAATTCTTGTATTTCTTTCTTCCCAAACTGTCCAAATCACCACTGTCCTTGTACATCTCTACATAACTCCATCCCTTCTTTTTGTGCTCCTCAAAACAGATGGCAAAACAACTTGTCCAAACTAGCAGGGGGATTTCACCTACAACCAAAAAGAGAAAAGAACCATTCCCAAATACAGCAAACAAAAGGGCGAGAGATTAAGGGATGGAAGGCACTTTCGCCATTCAACTTACACAAAAAAACACCAATTAGTGGACAAGATCCAATTTGGTCTTTTCCTTTGCAATAAGTCACAAGTATTAATACAAGCATGGAAGACTTCCCCGCAAAAAGCATTGACTTTTGGGGGGATAGGAACACACCAAACTTCATTCACAAGAAAGGGAGGAGAAGAGGTGGCTACAAGAGAAGTGAAAAAAGATTTGCAAGAAACAACCCAGTAGGATTAAGGGACCACGCACAATTATCCTTCACTGTATCATCAAAGACTAAATTATCCAAGATGCTCAACAAGTTAGACATAGAGGAAATTTCAGGCTCTCTAAGAATCCTTGTTAAACTCAAATTCCAATTCAGCCCTAAAGAGGAAGGAAGAAATTGAATGAACTCAGACACAGGTCTTTCTTTAAGGTTGGAGAGAACAAAGAAGAAAACACATCTTTCAAAGGAGACTCCCCAAATCCAAACATCTTACTAGAACCTAATCCTATTCAGGCACTTTGCTGCTGGTGACTTGATGAGGAAGTGGTTTGAAATTGCTTGCTCTTCTTCTTGTAAGGTTGTCACCAGGCCCTCTTGGTCCCCACCTAATGAGAGTTTCATAAAGTTGAACTTCAATGGTAGCAGGGAAGGAAACCTAGGTCCCTCCAGCATTGGAGGAGCTTTTAGGGATGAGGAAGGAAGAGTTCCTTTGAATCTGCCTTCAACTTGAAGATAAATTGGGGAAAGAGTTGTATAGCAGGGATCAACCTGGAAGAAGAAAAGATGAGAGTGTTTTTTTTTTTTTTTTGATAGATGAGATGAGAGTGTTAGCTAAGATCCTGGGATGTGAGGTTAACAGTGGCCATTGGAGTACTTAGGTCTTCCATTGGGAGGGAAACCCAAGATCAGAGGTTTTTTGGAAACCAATGGTATAGAGATTAACAAAGAAGTTGGCCTTGCGGAAGAGGAACTATTTGTCCCTATGTGGGAGAATAACCTTGATTAGAGCTACTTTAGCCAACCTACCAACCTATTTCCTTTCAACATTCAGAATTCCAACTAAGATAGCAAGCTAGCTAGAGAAATTATGAGGGATTTCCTTTGGAAGCCTACAGATGAAAAAAGGGACCACCTAGTAAAATGGGAACAAGTTAGTAAAACCAATGTTTTCAACCCGGCATTGACCCAGCCTGTCGAACCATTTGAACCGTCACCCGGCCAGGATTCCAGGTCCGGTTCAGTCAAGACCCATCAGATGGTCAAAAACCATTGACTTGGGCAAGAACTGTTCGAACCAGCCAGTTCAACCATTGACTCGTTTGACCCAATGGCAAGGTCACGGGTTGCACACTGAATACATGCAAACTTTCGGAGGCCATAACTTTGCACTCCGATGTCCGATTGGGGTGATTTTTTTTTATTTTGGGTAACTTTTCGAGATCTATGTGTTCCAAGGCACTGTAGCCCACTATTTTTGCGAAAACAAAAACCTTTTTTGGCCTCAAATTGCAATTTTTAATGTTTTTTATAAATAAAAAATTAAAAACTGAATTAAAAACATATGTTAAATATAAAATAATACATATAACATATCTAGAACATATTTATACATTATTTATTGCCAAAATATATATTTATATACACACACACACATATATATATATATATATATATATATATATATATATATATATATACTTAATACATATATATGCTGACGTGGCACGGTCTGAACCGTTCGACCTGGCTGGTCGAACCAGTGACCCACAACTCGGAGGCAAAAACGGTTCGACCTCCAGGTCGGTTTTTAAAACATTGAGTAAAACAAAGGAGAAGGGATGTCTAGGAATGGGAAACCTAATCCACAAGAACACATCTTTGTTAGGAAAGTAGCTTTGGAGGTTTCTGGTGGAAAGTGACAAGCTATAGCACAAGGTCATAGAACACATTCACAGGTAGATGAACAGTGGTTGGGATGCAAAGGTAGCTTCTTCTTCAACCTCAATCTCTCCTTAGAAAGCAATTCAAGAGGTATATCCAACCTTTATTAACTTCATCAGATTTGATGTGGGATGTGGGTCTAGGGTTCTCTTTTGGGAAGATCTTTGGTTGGGTAAAACTCCTTACTGTTCTCTATTCCCTGAACTTTATTCAGTGTCTGAATAATAAGCCTCAACCTATTTCAAACTTTGTTACCTTCTCTCAATCAGGCTTGTGTTGGGCGTTGGGACTTTCGTTTTGGGAGGGGTTGAGGGATAATGAGTGTGAGACCCTTATTCAACTGCTAGACAATCTTAAGTCAGCCTTCTTTGATCAATCTGTAATTTTAGGAAATGGAGTGTCATATCCCCATTTCCTGCATGTATCAATGTCAATATACATATCCGGGATTCATAGATAACTTCTGTATAGTTGTCAGTTGTCACCCTTTTCTTCTTCATTAACAAAGAAAAAATTAAAAAAAAAAAAAAAAACTCTGATCCATCCTCTATGTTCAAAAGAAACACTCTTGGTCTTTCCTACAGGCATCACTCTGACCCTAACAAGCCATCCATCAACCACATAGGGGTGAAATAACAAGACAGAAATGGTGAGCTGATATTCGAGATGGTGATTTCACAATCTATTAGACCTTTTTTTGAACAATAAATCTATTAGACTATTAGAACTATGCATTTTTCACAAAATCAGTAACCAATCTCCAGAGAGAGAGAGAGAGAGAGAGAGAGAGAGATTACATGCGTGGAAGAAGCTCGCTGATTGAACCTATTTTGCAAAACCAGTTATTACAGGTTTCTTTTGCATCAGGGCAGACATCTATGGCTTTAAAGTTCTCTGCAATAAATTCAGGAGGAGACACTACAAATTGTTAGTTTTCAGTATAACAAAAACAAACAACAGAGGCAACATATTGCAAGCATCTAAATTCTAAGAGAAAAATATGATTATGAAAATACAAAATCAAATTTGTACAGGTAACTTTCTCGCCTCCAAAATCAGTGGTTGTTTCCTATATTGGGATATTGCTACTCATAGGGCCAAAGGCCATTCACAAAAAGAATTATGCCTCGATTCATAAAACAAAATAGACATATTAACCTGGCAAAGAGCAGATTATAGTTCCATCATCAGCATACTTTGCCCTCCTTTTTATGCGTTCCCACACAAGATCTCCAAGCATATCCATTACATCTGTAACTAAAACAAATAATGTAGGATAAAATTGCAAAACAGATGTGTCCATCAGAAGCCTAGCAACCTGCATAAAAAAAGAAGTAATATTATGTATAAATAATTATTGAGTATAAACAATTATTATTTTCTAAGAAGGACCTCAGCTGCTTAAAAGATTTTCTTTACTATCAGCAATAGCAATCAGAAATTTTATTATAGAAACATAATTAAAAAAAAAAAAAAAAGATAACAGATTGTTTGGAAAGGAGGAAAGTAGTACAGAAATGATTGTAGCTCACAAAACTACACAATTGAATCATATGACAATCCTCTGGACCATGTGCCCCCCCAACTTGTCCAGTGAATCAAGTCACATATGCTCTTACAAATCACTATTATATTTGAGAGTTGTCAACTACACTGAAAATCAACCTTCTCCCAAGTTCTATATCTGAAGGCACAAATTGAAGGATGAGCTTTCTTGTTGAACAGGGAGTGGAAACTCTTCCCATTGTGATACTGAGACTCCATTCTAACTTTAAATTTGACCATCCTTGTATAGATTTTTACCCCTATTACCTCATATTTTATCTTTCCTTTTTACTTTTCAGTTTTTTACTAAACCTTCATTCTGTTTCCAATCATAAGCACATGATGATAGTTGACTGGTAACATTTCAATGCTTAAATGGAAATCCATACTTTGTATGCCTGACTTAACATTGTAGTAAACCTCAAAATACTATGATACAAACACATAAATTGTTACCTTGATGGATAATTTCAAAGATGTTACACGATCATCGGCTTGCCAGGCATGGCATATTTCATCTTTAAGTTCATGTAATCTTGAAACGTACTCCTGGCATGTAATGACTTTGACATCCTCCTCCGCAATTTTCTGTGGATCATCAAGTTCCTCTAGATGCATGCTTGTTGAAGACTTATCATGTGCTGCAAGATTCCTCATCGAAAAACTGAACTAAGAAACTATATTGTACATTTACTGAAATCTATGTACCAGGAAGCAGCAATAAATGAATTAATACTTCCTAATGTCCAGAATGAGTTAAAAATAAGAAAAAAAAAATGTAGGGGAAACATACCCTTGCCACTTTTTACTATTACATCAGACATCTGTAATAGAAACAAGATCTCAGTGTCTCAAGCAGAAAACAGAAAAATAGAAGTCTCTTTACAAGATAGAGATATAGTCCCTCATAGAATAAAAAATGACTTTGAAAGCATATTTGTATTAATTATAATTGCAAACAATCGGAACAGTTACAGGTAGAAAGGTATAAAAAACTATGTTTCTTTCCACTCTTGACATAGTTAAAGACTAGCTGACTAGGATGCTCACTACTCAGACAAGGACTAATAAACAAAACAAGAATAAGACTTGTCATTCCCCAAAATCTAGAATATCAATGTGAATATGAGTATATACAATATAATGATTAGTGATGATTAAGAAGTGTTCACACTGAATAACATGCCAAGTCATCCATAACATGTATACCACTCATTGGCTAGAAAATGAGTGGCAAAAATGGCTTACAGGAGATATTAGTGTAAGTGCTTGCTTCATCATCACCTCTATGATGGTATCATGTCTTGTCTGTTAGGTTCTTTTTTTTATTATGGTAACTCTGAACATTATTAATTGTTAGAAAAGACTTAGTTACAATAAAATTCTTGACTGCCACCATTTAGCCAGCCCACAACTACTATACAGGCCCCTTCAACCATCGCATGTTTAAAATTATAAAAAAAAAAAAAAATTGTCATGGTATATTTGATGAAGCCTCAAATAGTAATAGGTTTTCACAAAATAAGACATACTACAGTGTATTAGTTTCATCATACTTAAGGTAAGATGTGGCACAACAGGAAACTCATATAATTATATTCTACAGATATATATAAATCATACAATACCCATATTAGAATCCTTTTAAGTCAATACTACACTAAGTATGATGAAGTAATTTGGGTATTAGAGAATTAATACATATCCTGCACATTATAACCAGGTGAAAATTTGATGAAATATTATCTGACAAAGAATTACAAGCTCACCGACGAAATTGAGACTGTCTTTGTGGCTGAAAATTTCTGCATCAGTGATCTCTTAAAAGAGGCCCACTCTTTTTCTGACAGCTGCAGAGCAGCTTCATTAGAAAGCTTTCTATTATAAGTACTCTGAACATCTTCTACATCCCCAATATGCATTGCCATATTTGCACCCAATCCTCTCAAAGGATCACAGAAATCATCCTTCCCATTGTCAGTAACATCAACCTGAAATAGAATATATCCACTAAATTTTCAGAAATCACTGTGACATAGATATTTATTCAAGATCAAAATCTGAAAGATATTGGGAACTCAGACTCCTTAAGCTGTAAAAAAAAATTAAAAAAAAAAAAAAGCATGGATTCAAGGGGAGAGAAATGCTAGAATTTTCAATGATAGGGAGAGGAATGAGGATTCTATCTGGGACTGCATCTTAAGTAGGGCAATCCATGGGCTAAAACTATGGATATTATTTCTTTGTTTTCCTATGATGATATTTGGAGGAATTGGGGAGTTGTAGTAAGGAGCTTGGAACTAAAGGTAAAGCCGGCTAAAGCTTGGGTATCTCCTGACGAAGGTTTCATTAAGCTTAACTTTGATGGTAGCAGTTTGGGGAACCCAGGACCCTCAGGAATTGAGAGTGTTGTAAGGAATGCAAATGGCAGTATAGTTTCTTTGTTTTCAGGCCTATTGGTGTGGGGGACTCTATTCAAGCCAAGCTTCAAGCTGTTCTACAGGGGGCACAACTTGCTAGGGAGCTGAACATTGACAGACTGCTAATTGAAGGGGATTTGAAGCTGATAATTGATTGGCTAAGGAATCCAGATACCGTTGTTTGGGCCTACAGGGAAGCTATAAAAAGAGTCAAATGGTTGACCTCCAAACAGTAAGATTTCAGTGAGAAAGGAGGTCATCTAATGGAATAGCTGACTCTTTAGCTAAGCAACAGGTGCATAGGGATCATCTTTGCTAGGATCAATTGTAATGTGGTGCTTTTGGGGAGGCTGCATCCTGTGCCTCCCCTTGGGGAATCATTTGTATTTTTCTATTATGATATTCCATTTATAAAATTCTTTTCTATTATTGATCAAAAAAATGGGAGATAACAGAAAGGAAAGGAAAGGAAAACAAAGGAAAAAGCAAAAATAAACATTAAACAACCAGATATCTTGTGAATTCCAACACTGGAATTCTATGGAATGGCACAAAAGAATGTAAAAGTTTCATTTGCCACCTAAAAACTTTCTAAAGGAAAGATGATACTTTTCATGTACAATAAGTGTACATTTAACTCTGAAAAGGAGGTCATTATCCAATGCTGACCCCAGTTAATCCAAGGTCTTGGCTCTTGGGATGGGTGGATTGGATGTCAACCTAACCTCCAACATCTTTGAATTAAGTGGCAGCTATGAGACTCAAACCCACATTCTCAAATTTTTCATCCCAAGATTTCACCATCAGACCAAGCAGTGGTCCCTTTCTTTTAGCTTCGAAAATAAGGAAGAAACAAATAAAAATGCTGAAGTGTCACTTAGGAATCCATGAAGTATAGGAACCTACAGTATTTCCAATAATGACAACTCCACCATTTAGAAGAACATAATGACAAGGCATGTGAAATGGCCAAACAAATGATATATGGAATATGGAACCACTAGCACCTCCCTGTGGATTCAAAAATCCACTAAAATGGTGGAAATGCAGCAACAAGAAATCAGCTCCTCTCCCAGTTCCAAGCAGCATAGTTTTCAAGGCTTCAAGGAAAAGCTAGGCAACTAGGGAGCATGTTGTATGGAGTCTCCTAAATGGACTGTGTCAGACATGCATCAGATACCAACACTCCATGAATTCTTGAGGGCACTTCTATGTGATATTTCCTTTTTATCTCCAAGCTTATTTGACATAAATGAACAGCTAATGTACAATTCAAGCAACTAGGGAGCATGTTGTATGGAGTCTCCTAAATGGACTGTGTCAGACATGSATCAGATWCCAACACTCCATGAATTCTTGAGGGCACTTCTATGTGATATTTCCTTTTTATCTCCAAGCTTATTTGACATAAATGAACAGCTAATGTACAATTCAATATATACATACATATATATATATATATATCAAGAAAAAAGTTTATTAAAAGAAAAGAGAAATTACATCAGAGAGGTGATAAGTCATCACCAGGAGAAGAATGGTCTCAACACCCCCAAACAGACCCTCAAACCTCACACTTTACATCCTCAAGACCCCTAAACAGATCCGCTAACTTCACACTTTACAAACATGAGGTTACCCCACCCATTCCAATCAAAGATCAAATCAAAACCCCCCAAAGAAAAGCACCCTAGAATACACAGGCCCTTAACCCAACAAACAATGCCATGAGTCCACGTTTTCTCATCATGCCAAGTCAAACTCTTGAACATGTGTCAGATTCCAACTCTTGTGTTTGTGTCCATGCAGCATTGCTAGGAGACACCTAGGCGGGCACCTATGCAATGAGTTTTGCAAGTTAAAAACACCTAAATCCTAATTTCAATATTGTAAATATCATATTGAAAATAATAATAGCAATTCAATAAAGTAACTATATTAAAAAACTAAACTAATGAATATTTTTTTATTGGAAATGGTAACTTCATTAATACAACTAAAGAATAACTTTCCAGAGTTAAGTACAGCTGTCAACCCCTAAACAGGTGTTGAGCCCCCAGTAAGCTTTCTTACAAAACTGCCCAGAACATTCTCTCCCTCACAGTTCCTTGTTTAGCCAATGTGTCAGCTAAACCATTAGCTGATCTCCTTGTCCATTTGAAGCATGCACCATCTCCCTTATTTTGTTGAGTATTTCCCCCTTATGGGCTGTCTATAAATCCAGACTCCCAACTTACCAGATTACAGCCACTCAATCAACAATTTAGAGTCTCCCTCTATCTCAATTTGGTGTAACACCAATTGTTTGGCATATCTTACACCTTGAAGCAAGGCCATCACCTCCGCTCTCAATGAGTCCCCACTCCTATTGGTCCTGAAAACATAGCTACAATTCTGCCATTTTCATCTCTGAATACTCCTCCTATACCTGAAGAGCCCGGGTTACCTCTAGAATTCCCGTCGAAGTTCAATTTCACTCCTTGTTGTGTTGGTGGGGACCACAATTCCTGCACAATAGGTTTTATGGAAGTTGTAGATTCCACCACTTCCCAATTCCTGTAAATGTCTTCAGCTGAGAAGTCTTGAAACAAATCCAAAGTTTTCAACCATTGAATAGTCATAATGATTATCCTTTCTACAATTGCCTCCTTGGATTTCTCCACTCCTTTAAAGATTCTATTGTTCCTTTCTTCCCAAACTGACCATAAGATAGCTGCTCTTGTGGCTCTCCACATTAAAAGTACCTTCATAGTTTGTACCAATTAGCCCCTATGATAAGTTTTCACATAATTTTTCTACAAACATTTCCAAGAACATGATGTTCACTAAAAGAAAAAAGCAATAGCCATAAGCTGGTAAACCATTGGATTCAGCCATTTTATCATCCTTTCCCCAAGATAAGTTTCCACATAATTTTTCCTCAATTAAAACATTAGTATTGTCTGTTTACATTATCTTAATTTAGAATTTAGAGTATAAAAAGACTGAAAAGGGGGAAAATGTTCAAGTATAAAACAGAAGTAGATGAAGAGAGAGAGAGAGAGAGAGAGAGAGAGAGAGAGTTGTTAACCAATTAAAATATGTTGAGAAGGTCGTAAAGTGCCACCTAGTATTTTTAGACTCCTAGGCACTTGTCTTTTTTTTTATGAATTCCTAGGCACTTGTCTTGTCACTTAGGCATGCGCCTTATGTGTTGAAGATTAAGCACCATTTTCTAAAATATTTAAGACAATGCGATTAGATGACCCCCAAATGGTAAGATCAAGGAATAGCAGATTCACAATCCTACCTCAATCCAAATACATACTAGGAGAATGTTTTACATGCCCTCATAATACATAATATCAGATTCATAACCTGTTTCTGTCCCACTTTACCAATTCCACCCCAATCCAAATGCATACTAGGAGAATATTTTACACATCTTCGGTTTGCTGATGATATCATTTTGTTTTGTGAAGGGGATGACATTAGCAAGGTTAGGAATCTGAAGTTGGTAGTACAGTTATTTGAGAGGGTGTCAAATCTCAAAATAAATTTCAGCAAGAATTGTGTGGTGGGGGTCAACATGAATGACAGAGAGATGCAGGAATGTGCTTCCGTATTGGGTTGTGAGATTTCTTAGTGGCCGATGAAATATTTGGGACTCCCCTTGGGTGATAACTCTAGAAGTACCAGTTTTTGGAACCCTGTGATAGACAAATTTACCAAAAGGTTGGCCACATAGAAGAAAAATTACCTTTCTTTGGGAGGGAGAATCACTTTGATTCGGTCTACTTTGGCAAACTTACCGGTGTATTTTCTCTCTGTATTTAGAATTCCAGAGTGGGCAGAAGTCTAGAAAAATTGATGAGGGATTTTTTGGGGGAGCCAGGGGAGGAGAAGAAGGACCATAGAGTCAATTGGGAGATTGTTTGTAGAAGCAGAGAGGATGGGGGTTTAGGTCTTGGGAAGGTCCAGACAAGGAATCAAGCTCTCTTGGGGAAGTGATTGTGGAGACTGCCTCTGGAGAAGGATAAGTTATGGGCTAAAGTAATTGTAAGTATTCATGGGCTGTCGACTGACGGTTGGGATGCTGGAGTGCTGAATAGGGCTACAAATGCTTCTCCTTGGTGGGCTATACACACTATACTTCCACTCTTTCGTCCCTTTGTCAGGTACAATCTTTGTTCAAGAGACCTTGTTAAATTCTGGGAACATGTTTAGGTGGGGGATACACCTTTGAAAGTCTAGTTTCCCATGTTGTTCTCCATTTCTAACCAGAAGGATGAGATTGTCTCTTCCTTTTTGATTCCTTCTGACTCAAACTCCAGGTTTGTTGGGATTTGGGGTTTTGGAGGGGGTTAAGAGATTCTGAGTTGAATTTTGGGTTGGAATTAATCAAACTATTACAAGGAATCTTCTTGGACCCCTCTAAGCCAGACAGTAGTAGATTATGGAGCCTTGCCCCTTCTGGTTCCTTTTCCTGTGCCTCTTTTAGGAGAGCCTTGTCTCAACCTTTAGCAAATTTGGGGTCAACCTTTCCTGTTAAAGAAGTGTGGGGAAGGCCAAATCCTCCAAGAATAGGGGCCTTCTGTTGGGAAACTCTTTTGGGGAAGATCAATACTTGCGACATACTTCAAAGGAAAAGACCGTCTTGGTGCTTGTCTCCTAACTGGTGCACTCTCTGTAAAGCCAATGGTGAGAACTGCTATCACTTGTTGATACCTTGCCCTTTCGTTCTTTCTATTTAGGTTTGGTTTGCTTCTTTGTTTGGTTGCAGGTGGAACTCTCCTCCGAACTTACAAAGCTTGTTCACTTCCTGGGTTTCTAGTGGGATGAAGAGATGGGATAGAATACTTTGGAGGTGTACCAGAGCTGCCATTTGCTGGACAGTTTGGGAGGAAAGGAATCAAAGGGTATTTCAGAATAAAGAAAGGAGCTTCAGTGCAATTGTGGAGATGGTTACAGCTAGAGTAATACATTGGGTGAAATCCCTGAAAGTATTTGAGGGTATCTCAACAGATTCGCTGCTTAATAACTGGGAGGAAGTGGTCAAATCAGCACCAAGGAAAAGGTGCTCCTTTCCCACTGTGGCCCCCACCACCTGAAGGGTTTACTAAACCAAATTTTGATGGAAGCAGTGAAGGTAACCTAGGACCTTCAGGTATTAGAGGGGTCTTTAGGAAAGAGGAAGGACAGGTTTTAGCATTATTCTCTGAGTCAGTGGGTGGAGGTGATTCTCTCAGGGCTGAGGTCTTGGCTGTGTTGGAAGGGGTAAGAAGAGCAAAAGAACTAAATATATGGAATCTAATCATTGAAGGTGACTCCAAGTTAGTTATCTGCTGGCTGGATAAAGAAGAGAATGGACTTTGGGAATAAGCAAATGAAAAAAAGGAATTTAAGTGCCTGTCAAGGGGTATGGTCTTAAGGTTTCAGTGGGTTAAAAGGAGTGCTAACTCCTTTGCTGATGCCTTAGCTAAACAGGGGGTGGGAAGGGTTCATTCATTTTGGGCATGCCTGTAAATCATTGACTGTACCTTATCTATCCTTGGGGAGGGTTAAGAGAGTTTACCCCTTCCCTTGGATGCTGTATTCTTACTTTATTTCAATTAATGAATTTCTGGTTATTGATAAAAAAATGTTTTACATGCCCTCATAATCCTTCTTTTCCTAAAATAGGAAATTTTATGACCACCATTCGCTGCCTTTATTGGAAACTAGTAATTCCTCTTCTTTGCTTACTGTTTACAACTATACAAGGAAGATATATAAATTATTACTTCAACTAACCTGCTACTTTTCTAGCCTTTGCAGTTACTAATGATCTCATGGATATTCTTTTCGGCACAAGCTCGTTAGGTTAATCATTGGAATTGTTGAATTAACCTATATATCAATGATAAAACTATACAACGTTTAATACTACTTCCATGTCTCAAATTGTTAGGATTGACATTATGCAATTTTCAGAATTTAGCTACCTCTTACCCCAAAAATAATCAGAACTTCGCAGAAAAAAAATAAACCTATAATGAAGGACGAATGCGAAGAAGAACTAAATAACGACTATGATAGCTGAACCTGGTATGGGAGAGATCGAGCGAAGAGAGGATGATTCTTTGCGGGCACGCGAGGAAGTGAGTATGCTGATTCTTCGGCACCGTAATCCCGCTCCCTGAATTCCATGGAGTGCGAAAGCACTTCGATCTCTCTCTCTATCTCTCTCCTGGCTTATGTTTTTTGTGTTCTATGCTTCTCTGATTCTCAGTGAAACACTGAAACCTCGTTCTGAGTACTATCTAGGCAAGAACTAACCGTCTATGTCTATTGAGAGACCATCACTCGCCATGTGCGTGCGCTCACACGCACGAGATGTGTTGTGGAGCGGCTGGAGAAAATGCAGATTCGATCTGCCAATGAGATCTCTCGTGTGAACGTGTGAAGGAACTGTGATCATGCATGGATCTGGATCAGTTACAGAATCATGAAAAGTGAATCGTGCAGACTTCGAAATATCAGATGGTTGAGATCATTCGATTATTTTGATACTTCCTTACTGGAACTTAACGAATTGATGAGCATCGAGGTTGTTTGATACTTCCTTACTGGATCGTCGTTAATGGATCGCTGGTTGTTTGATAACTGCTGAAGTGGCTGAACTGAAGCAGTTTTTAGGTCAGTAAGGATTGGCTAAACCAGTAGTAACTCTTTAAGCCGTAGAACCAATAATAATGCCCCACACCATAATAAAATATTGGGCAAATTTTTTAGTGCTTTGGCAATTCTTTTTCAGAAGATGTATTATAAGATCCGATGGTTAAAAGATAAGGTGAGTTTTGTCAAATAGATGTTGGAAGATCAAAGATTGTTTGGTTGAAATATTTTATATAGATCTCACAAAAGACTATAAAAGCTAAAAGACCGTTTGTTAATGTGATGAAAATATGTGTTATGTATATATGAATGTCTTGTGTGTGGGCCAATAAACCTTTTATTTAACACGTGGGACTCATATACATTTTCTAAGGTGGAATCTACATACCATTGGTGGATATGTATGTGGGGCCCACATTCTTGGTGGCCATGCATGTGGGGTTCATGTGTGGATATGTATGTGGGGCCCACATACACTTTACAAGGTGGGCCCCACATGCCATTGGTGGACATGCATGTGGGCCCATGTGTAGACATGTATGTGGGCCCCACATATAATTGGTGGACATGTATGTGGTGCCCACATATATTTTGCAAGGTAAGCCCCACATACCATTGGTAGACATGCATGTAGGGTCCATGTGTGGACATATATGTGGGGCCCACATACATTTTACAAGGTGGGCCCCACATGCCATTGGTGGATACGCATGTGTGGACATGTATGTGGGGCCTACATACATTTTTACAATGTAGATCCTACATAATACCTAATGTGGGCCCCACATACCATTGATAGGTCTCATTTACACATTCAAATAGTTTTTGTGGAAAGATAACTCATGTTCTCCCAACTGTGTGCATCGTATCACACGTTCGAAGAAGACAGGGCACTAAAAGACTATAAAAGCTTTATTTGAAGTTTCCTAAAAAAGCCCAAATTTAGGTTTATGGCGTCTTTTATGGGTGGGAGCTTTTCTTGAATAGATCTTTCTATTGCCAAACGGGAAAAGTCCAGAATTCAGGCTTCTGAGATTCTAAGCAGCCCGAAGCCCACATTGAAATACTTGCCAAACGCGGCCTTAGTTAATTGACAAACTATATTATTGTTGTTTAACTATTATTTTAAACCACCTTTACTATTTCTTACAATTGACTAGCTCTACCCTTGTCGTTGGGGTCCATTAATGTTTCGTCAAAATCAGGATCAGATCTAGTGGCACAACAAAATAAAAATTTGTGAGTGCTCATTTAACGTGCTTACTTTGTTGTGCCTACTAGATCCGGTCCTATCAAAATCTGCACATATGTGACTTATAAATTTTTCTAAAACTCAATATTACCCTTCATCCCTCTCCCTCTCCCTTCTCCTCTCCTTCTTCTTCCTTACCGTCTTCTTCTTGTGGCAAATCGGATGAGATGGCGGTGATGTTACAGTATTTCAAACCAAAATGCACTGAGATTGAGTTTCTCTCTCTCTTCCCCTTTGTCTGGGAATCGCAAGAATTGATAAGTCCTCCATTAAATTGAATGGGGTGGGAAAGACATGTTTGGAAATGGCAAGAGGGAGGGCGGCCCCACCCTGAAACAAAGGTGTATGTCTAGTTATGTCCATCTCCTTCCCATCTATCTTGACTAAGAAGAGGGGGAGCCTCTTGCAGAAGCCCTGCCCGTCCTTCTCTATTTTGAGAGATCCCTCATATTAATGATTCTAGACTTACTAAACTTGTAACAAACGGCTAGAAACAAGAGTAGGGTCAATAGTCTTTGCCATTGCATGTCCTTCTCCTTCCGCTAAGATGGCTCTTTTTGGTTTTGTTCATTCACCATGGCATGAAATCATGAAGAAGTTAGATTGTGATGTTGAAAGCGTCTATTGTCTTTGTAGAGGAACTGTACACGCTACGGAATCCTCCAACCCCACCACCACTTCCTCTAGACTTTACCTGGTTAATGGTGATTCCGACCAGCTGGAGAAACACGTCTTCAAGAGTTCATCAGGCTTCCGATAGTCCTTCGGTTGCATCCCACGAAAGCTACCCCATCAAAGACAAGCTACCCGATATTGGATCAGAATGAAGCTCCCCTGTTTCACCTATTGAGTGCATACCGAAATCAAATAAAGGACAATTTTATTTGCATTGTTTTCTTTTCTTTTTTTCTGATTTGTTCCTCCTTATTTTTTGTTTTCTTCTTGCCTTTTGCTGTGAAGCAGTTGGGATATGAGGATGGAGGAGTGGGTTTATTACCTTTTGCCGCACAATCAGTCGTACCATCAATCACAATAGATGTAGTTGAAGATTGTAAAAGGGTTTTTGGTAGGACGGGCAGTGGCAACGAACACCAACAGGACGCAGAGTGCAAACAAGATTAGCATTGATGGTTCAAGATGGGGATCTGGGTTACAGTGACTATGATAGGCATGAACCAGGAAGGAGGTACAGACATTTGAGAAAAGATTTAATGGAAGGGTAAAATTGATTTTTCATCCTTTTAAGAAATTTGCCCTAAAATATTTAGGATCTATGACCAATAATAATGTGCCACCAATTTTTAGGTTATCAGCTCGACCATCGGGTCTAAATAGACAATATGTTGTAATTTAAAAACAAAATATAATTAAAATAAAAAAAAATGGCTAAAACCATTGTCTAGGTTATGTGGGTCAATGGTCAATAGCCCGCACCAATGGGCCACTAACCAAGTCAATGGTTTTTGGCAAAAGAATGGTTTAAGGATGAAATGGAACCAGTTGCCTATAGGTTTTTGGGCCAAACAGTCCAACCATCTAGGTCAACAATGGTTTGAAATCCATGGTGGACCCTATGCATTCATTGAGCGTTATATTGATTGCACAGTCGTAGTTAACTCATCCAAACTTCAAATAATCTGAATAAACCAAGTTTAGATCCAAGTTAAGTGAAACCTAAAGCTTTTTGGATTTGGATTAGTTGGATCTAACCTGTTACATGTACTAGTAGCTAAAATCTTTTATTATGAATAGGGATACTCTTTTATTATGACCAAACAGCTTTCCAAAATTCCACCTTGTTTGGGTTGTGAAAGAACAAGGAACTTTTGTTAAAGGTAGAAGTATAATGGACAATATAGCCTTGGTTAAGGAATTGGTGATGGACATTGAAAAGAAAATTCCATATGGTAATGTCATTATTAAATTAGATAATGGCCAAAGCATATGACCCTATCTTGGGATTTTTTTTTTTTTGTGGAAGCTTTGTGCATGTTTGGTTTTTGTGAGAGGTGGATACATATGGTTCAAAAAACTTTACAGAATTATTGATTCTCTCTGCTTTGGAATGATGCAATCACAAGATTCTTCAAATCGACAAGAGGATTGCGGACCCCTTGAGTCCATACTACTTATCTTATCCGAGGAGGTGTTAAGTAGAAGCTTGACAAAGCTAGGTAGTTAGATACAAAATAGTGTATGGACAATGCAAAGTGGTTACCCAATTATCACTTATTGCTTATACGCAGATGACACTCTAGTTTTCACTCAGAGAGTGATGGATTGCATACACATATGAGAGGTGATAAGGTCAATTAGTTAATACAGACAAAAGTTGCTTTCTCACCTCTTCAAAAGCATCTCATAGTAGATTATAGGTTATTGAGAGGTTCAATTATGAAAGGTCAAAGAAAGCTATATGTTCTAGAGACATTGTGGATAAAGTAAGTAAAAAAGTGGCAGGCTAGAAAGGGAAGCTCCTATTGGGTGGAGACGAATATATCCTTATAAGACGTGTTGAATAGTATTCCTTTGCATATTATGACAACTGTTGATGTACCTAAAAAAGTAAAAAAAAAGGATAGAACAACTTATCCCATACATCTTTCCTAGGGGTGGATTCGAGCCAAGCTGAGCCGAATAGTACGAGGCTTGATCTCGGCTCGCCAAGGTTGTATAAGGTTCGAGCTTGGTTCGTGCTAGAACATTGAGCTTGAGCTCAACTCGAGTCAAAAACTCATAAGCTCAAGCTCGGCTCAGCTTGAGCTCGATTTGAGAAAAAAGGTTTTATAAAAATAAAAAATTATATATAAAAAATATTTTTATGTGATATTTAAAAAATTAAGAATAATAATATTTTTATTATATATATATCATTTTCTATAATTTTATTACATATAATATATATATATATATTCGCGCTCGGCTCGTGAGGCTATTAGGCTCGAGTTTGGCTCGTTTATTAATCGAGCCTATAAATTGGGCTCGGACTCGATTGATACCGAGCCAAGCAGAGTATGAGTAGCTCATGAAGAGCTCAGCTCATGGCCACCCCTATTCTTTCCTTTGGTTGAGTAAAGACCTTGAGAGGAAACATATAGCTGGATGGCCTAGATAAAATAACTCCTCTTGAGGAAGGAGAGCTATAGATTAAAAAAGCAAGTTTTTAGAATTAAGGCCTTTTAGAAAGCAATATATGAAGGTTTTATTTGGGCTGATTTTTTTAAAGGCTAAATTTCTCATATATGGTCACCGTATATTGCTATTTTGCCACCAAAAACTTCAAAGATGTGAAAAAAAAATCGGTTTTAATGGAAGACATGGTCAACGCATCCAAATGGTTGGTTGGTCAAGGGATAGTAACCTTTTGTTTGGACAAATGGGTCGATGTAGGTCCTCTTATTGACCTTGTCAACAATATGGATAGTTTGAGTATTGATTTACAGGTTTAGGACATTTTTAGTGAGGATGGCATTTGACATTTAGATGAAGTTTCGGTTATTCTTTCTCCTGATATCATAAATGTTATCAAAAACTTGG